CATATAACAGAAACATAAAGTCTACTACCAATGGAGGACCCATTGCGTAGCAGTCCAATATCAATATTCATATAACAGAAACAGAGAGACTAATACTAATGAAGGACCCATTGTGTAGCAGTCAGATATCAGTATTCATATAACACATATAGAGAGTCTACTACCAATGGATGACCCATTGCGTAGCAGTCAGATATCAGTTTTCATATTACAGAAACAAAGAGTCTACTACCAATGGAGAACCCATTGCGTAGCAGTCAGAAATCACATATATTAGTTGCACCGTGTACAAGCATTCATAACATTTATTCATTCATACTTTACTCTTTTCAAGAGGTCAGGAACATCCAATAGTCGTAGGATCATCAGCATGCCATTTCGGTGTCTTACCACCTTGCAAAAGGATTTAAGCTATGTTCAAAAGAAACATTAATGCACGACATGTGCATAACTCATATACGACTTAAATTCATTGTGGTTCTTATCAATCATGGGCATATACAGAATGAGGCATAACACCCAAATTATGAGGAAAAATTAACTAAATTTTGATTTCAGTTCGGTAATTGAGCATTACTTAATTAATTAAGTGTTCAACATATCGTTCTAAATGTTGCTGAATTTTGCCAATAGTGACATATGTTCAAATTTCAAAACATAGCTTGTAATCTAGTAGGAATTTCGAAACAATTTTACATGCAACTTTTAGTAGACATTCAGAGCTTTCAAATGGCGGTGGTTTTGGGGTAATTGGACTCCACTTGGTTAGCCAAAATTCATGACATCAGAGACCAAAATTCTGAGTTTATGTGAGATCTGTCAATAGTGACATATTGGAGCACTTTTTAGCATAGCTCCTCATTTACACAAAATTTGGGCAAGGTAAAAACATGAAAATCATAAAAGACTTATGCATATATCAAATGGTTGTGTTTTTGGGTCATTTTGACCTCAATAGGTCAGAAAAAGTTTTAATATAGTAGAAACAATATTTCTGAAAATTATCATAGTCTGCTATTAGTGGCATATGAGCACAAAATATATCACATATTCCAAACTATCAAGAATCTCAACTGGGCATAAACATTAAACTCTAAGTAAACTCATAGACCTTTCAAATAGTGGTGATTTGAGGCCATTTGAATATCATTTGCTCAGTCAAAATCTTATTTCAAAAGCATGTAAGTTCCTTGGAAAATCACAGTACACTCATGGCGCATTCCAAATACCAGTCCATAATTTCAAACCCATCCAAGATAACAATATGAAACTTTTTCTATCTTAGGCTAGACTCAAACAAGCATCATTCCACAGAATTTCAGGATCCACAAGAGTGATAACAGTGCCCAATTTCTCATGTAAAAAATGCCTCATTGCTAGTAAACAGAACACAACATACATGCTTAACATCATACTTTGTTCATGGAGATTCATGCTTAACATTCGTACTTTCAATTTCATGCTCTTACAACTTGATGCAAGGGGGTAGTAATCCACTTACACAGCCAACAATGGTGCCCTCCAACCTGTCTTCTACAGTCCTTCAACTCCAACAATGACTGCTCCAAAGTGAGGGAGTGAACTTCCCTAATAATTGTTTTAGAGAGAGAGAGAGATATGAAAAGTGATGGACATGAGGGAGAGGGAAGAGTTTAAATATCCCCTCAAGTGGCAGGTGGCAACCCAAGTTGACGGGTGGAAACCATCTCCTATGCAGCTGGACAAGTAACAAACGCTTAATCATGCATGGCAGTGCTGCAGCCGGCGTTATGAACACGGCGATGCCCCTTGTTCCCTCACAGTGCTGGGCACACATTGATGCGTGCACACTGCCACACTCTCTCCACTATCGCCGTGTGCTCTTCACTGTCGCTGTGCGCCTACTATTACCGCGTGCTTACTATTGCCACGTGCTCTTCACTATCGACACGTGCTCTTCTAGGTCCTTACGCGATGCCTCTGTTCTCCAAACGACGATGCCTCGCTTCTCCAAGCTGCAATGCCTCGAAACGACGATGCCTCTCTTCTCCAAGCGGTGATGCCCCCAAACGGGGATGCCTCTCTTCTCCCTCCGCAAGCGGCGTTATCCCTCTTCTTATCAGACTCCTACCGCCATGCGTGTTTCCATAGCCAGGAAAACCTTGGTCCTTACATCCGTCCCCCCCCCCCCCCTTAAGAAAAATTTTGTTCTCAAAATCGTCAATCCAATAAATGGGGGTACATAGGTTGGATTTCATCTTCTCACTCCCACGTTGACTCTTCCCTCGAATGATATTGCCATAAAACATGGACTAGGGGGATCTCTTTGTTGCGTAAAACTGGAACCCTTATGTCCAAAATCTCAATCGGCTGCTCAACATAAGTTAAGTCTTCCCTGATTGGCATTGGTTTATACTTCAGAACGTGAGACAGATCGGGTTGATATTTTCTCAATAGTGAAATATGGAAGACATCATGAATATTTGCCAACTCGGGCGGTTGGCCAGTCGATATGCCGCGACTCCTATTCTCTTTAATATTGCAAAGGGTTGGATGAATCGTGGACTTAGCGGCCCTTTCTTGCCGAACCTCATAATTCCCTTTATTGGTGACACTTGCAAAAAGACTTGATCACCTACTTCAAATTCAAGGTCCCTTTGGCGATTATCGGCATAACTCTTCAGCTGACTATGAGCTGTTTTAAGCATTTCTTGAATTAAGGCGATCTTTTTTTATGTTACTTGAACAATTTCTAGCCCTAACAGTCTCCTTTCGCCAACTTCTTCCCAATACACTGACGATCTACATTTTCTCCCATACAGGGCCTCAAAAGGTGCCATTTGAATACTGGTATGGAAACTATTGTTATATGCAAATTATATTAAAGGTAAGTGATCATCCCAGTTTCCTTTAAAGTTTGTAACACAGACCTTCAACATATCTTCTAAGGTATGAATGTTTCTTTTCGATTGTCCATCAGTTTGAGGGTGAAAAGCAGTACTAAAAGTGAGTCTTGTCCCCCAAGCTGATTGCAGACTGCTCCAAAACCTTGAAGTAAATCTAGAGTCCCTGTCAAACACAATACTCACAGGTACTCCATGCAGCCTTATTACTTCCTCGATATACAATTGAGTTTGTCTAGGGTATAGGTAGTGCGAACCGGTAAGAACTGTGCAGCCTTAGTTAATCGGTCCACGAAACCCAAACACTGTAATGTCCAGTGCCTTGGCAAACCAGACACAAAGTCCATAGTGATGTGCTCCCACTTCCATTCAAGCATAAGCAAGGGTTGTAACAGCCTGGCAGGTCTCTGGTGCTCAGCCTTTATTTGTTGACAAGTCAGACATATAGAAACGAATTTTGCCTGACAAGTCAGACATATAGAAACGAATTGTGCCATATCCCTTTTCATGTTATTTCACCATAAAGTTTTCCTTAATTCCTGATACATTTTTGTGCTTCATGGGTGTACAGTGTAACGGGAGAGGTGTGCATCTTCTAAAATGACTCTCTTTATATTTTCATTATTTGGAATGTATATTCGTTCTTTAAATCTTAATAGATCAACATTGCTGACAGAAAAATTATTCTTTTTTTCCTGCTTCAAGTCTTCCAAATTTTTCATAAGCTGGGGGTCTGTCTTTTGGGCTACTCTGATCTGTCGAAAGAGCAAAGGTTCCACTCTTATATTCGCAGTTATTCCCAATCCAAAACTAGAGGGTAGTGTTGGGCACCACTCCACTGCATCTACTATCATTTTTATCTCTCGAGCCATCATATGTGCTATTGATATCAAGGGTTTCTAGCTTAAAGTGTCGACTACTACATTTTTCTTGCCCGGTTGATAACTGATGGTGCAGTGATAATCATTCAGTAGGTCAATCCATCTCTTTGGCCTCATATTCAACTCTTTATGCGTAAATAAATACTTGAGGCTCTTATGATCTGTAAATATCTTAAACTGGCCCCCACAGAGATAGTGTCTCAAAACCTTCAAGGCAAAGACCACGGCCATGAGCTTTAAGTCATGAGTTGGCTAATTTTGCTCATGCAACTTTGATTGTCTAGAGGCATAGGCTATAAGCTTCCCATGATGCATTAACACACACCTCAGTCCCTTATGGGAAGCATCAGTATAGACCACAAGGCCTTCGTTTCCTTCGGGCAAGATTAATATTGGGGCCAGAGTTAATATCTTCTTTAATTCTTGAAAACTCTTCTCACAATCATCTGACCATAAAAATTTCACCTCCTTTTAGGTTAGGCGAGTTAGGGGAAGCACTATCCTTAGGAAGCCTTCTACAAAATGCCTATAGTATTCCGTCAGACCCAGAAAACTGTGGACTTCCGTCACATTCGTTGGCCTTCCACATTTTAGTACGGCTTCAATTTTACAAGGGTCAACCGCGACCCCGTCCTTCGAAACAACATGCTCAAGGAAGGTCACGCTTGGAAGCCAAAACTCACTTTTCCCCAACTTGGCATATAAATTTTCTGCCTTCAGGGTCTGGAGAACCATCCTCATATGCCGTTCATGCTCTTCTCGATTCCTTGAGTACACTAGGATGTCATATATAACGACTACTATAAAGTCATCTAGGAAGGGTCTAAAAACCCTGTTCATCAGATCCATAAAAACCGCCAGTGCATTAGTTAGTCCAAACGGCATCACTAACTCGTAATGACTATAACGAGTCCTGAATGTGGTCTTAGGGGCATCTTCTTCCTTGACTCGCAGCTGATGACAACCTGACCGAAGGTCAATCTTGGAAAATACTTGGGGCCCTTGGAGTTGGTCAAAGAGTTCATCAATTCTTGGCAAGGGGTACTTATTCTTCATAGTGACCTGGTTTAGCTGCCGATAGTCTATACATAACCTCAAAGACCCATCTTTCTTTTTAACAAACAGGACGGGTGCATCCCAGGGCGACACACTAGGCCGAATGAAGCCCTTCTCCAGTAATTCTTGCAACTGTTCTTTTAATTCCTTTAGTTCAGTTGGGGCCATCATATAAGGGGCTTTAGAGATGAGGGGCAGGTCTAGGGACCACATCTATCGAAAATCCTATTTCTCTGACCGGGGACAGAAAGGTTAATTCTTTGAGAAAGACCTCTGGATATTCTCTCACCACCGGTATTTCTTCTAACTTAGATCGGTCATCTCGATTTTTCACTACGTAAGCTAGATACCCAACACATGTTTTAGCTAATAAACGCGAAGCCCTAATAGCCGAAATAAAATGCAAAGGGGAAACATCCTTGACGCCAAAAAAGTTCAACTCAGGCTGGTTTGGGCGTCTAAGGGTTACAATCTTATCACGACAATCTACAATAGCATGGGGTGTGGATAGCCAATCCATGCCCAAAATAACATCAAAGTCTTGGATATCTAATAATATCAGATGTATAGGCAGCACACACCCTTCAAGCAAAACCCCACAATGTTTAAAAATAATATTAGTTTATAAAGATTCTCCCATAGGTGTGCACACTACCAATCTCTAGTCAAGCAAGGAAGGTTTAACATTTATGTGGCATGCAAAGTGAGGTGCAACAAAAGAGTGTGTAGATCCAGGATCAACTAGGATTTTTGTGTCAATGTTACAAAAGGAAAGCGTACCTAAGATAACTGAAGTTGATGCCTTAGCTTCCCACTCGATAAGAGCAAATACCTGACCTTGAGGCTTTGGTTGGTTTTCTGATCCCCTGGTTAGGCAATCTCTAATCTGGTGGCTTGACTTGCCACACCCAAAGCACGCCCCAGCCTTCTTTCGACAGTCAGCCACCGAGTGATTATCTTTTCCGCAATATGGGCACGTTGGGCGTCGGTTCTCCCTTATGTCACCCGACAAGGTCCTTCGAATCTTCTTACCCCTCGGATTATCTCTTCTCCCGAAGTTCCTCCTTGGGGGTGGTTGAGCCTTTCTTTTGAAACTTCCAAACTGGGCTGGGCCCATTCTACACTTTCCTCTAACTCGGGACTCTTCACAGTCCCTCTCAATCTTCATGGCCAAGTCCACCAATGGAGAAAAGGTTTTAAGATTTGCCGATATCACCCTCCCCCTTATGTCGGACCTAAGACTCCTCACAAACTTACTTGCTTGCTGCGCCTCAGTCTTGATGATATGTGGCGCATACCTCGACAGCTCAGCAAACTTTACTGCATACTGTTCTATAGTTATATTCCCCCGTTGCAGCTCGATAAATTCTACTTCTTTTCTTTCTCGTACAGAATCAGTAAAGTACTTCTCGTTGAAGGCTCCAAGAAATTTTCCCCAATTTGCTTCCATCCCTGATTCCTCCCAGGATTGCTTCACTGAGGCCCACCAGTGCTCTGTGTCTCCCTCTAACATAAAGGTTCCCAGTTTGACCTTCTATTCTTTTGTACATTGTAATACCTTGAAGATCTCGTCTACTTGCCTTCTCCATAGATCCGCTTTCTCTACTCCCCCAAGCCCTAAGAAAGTTAGAGGAGCCAGCCTCCTAAACTTCTCTATCAAGTTGATGTCATTTAGATCAGGGGTAGGGGTAAACGAGGCCGGCATTGCCTCAATCATCATCTGTGTCATGGCCCCTAAAGTCCTAACAAACTCACCGAGGGCCTCGGTGTTCTCATTACTAGAACTGACGTTGTTGGCTCGCATCTTTGGTATCTTCAACCTAAGACACAAACACTCAGTTATTAATCTACCAAAACTATTCGAAGGACACTTTTAAACTCCCTAGGCCAAGAATCCAAACCTGTATGCTCTGAACCATAACTATAAACGACCTTGCTCCCTGACCCCTACCGTCCCAAACCGAAGGGAAACATGGTACAGGATCGCGACCAGGGGTCGCGTACATCACTCAGGTGGGAGTGGCATCAGCATGTGTTAAGAGTGCAGAATCAAAGCAAACCACGAGAAATAAATAAACGCTCATCCAACAAGCACAAAAAACTAAATAAATTAAAACCATTAACTTAATTCATCTTCAAAAGTCTTTACAATAAAGTTTGAGGCTCACGAGCCTAACAGTCATCTCAAAATATTACATCAAACCGAACAACAGGTGGCTACGCCACTAGGCACCTACAAGGTCAAAAAGAAATCCAGAGTCGGGTTGAACTCCAAACGCCTGCTATCACCGGTCAGCTACTCGCCACACACGATCAGGTACAAATACTCTACACAGATGAAATAAGCGGAGTGAGCAATAAGCCCAGTAAGTAGATCACGACCCTTGCCTTCCCCACTATTAGTAAATACATAAAAACATACCATAGTCCATCAGAAATCGCATTTGTCACACAGAGTATGGTCGTACATTAGAGTACATAATTGCTGTATAAAAAGTGTACGACTCAGTTAACATAACATTACTTGTTCTTAATATAGCATCAATCATGATGCATTTGACAGTTACAGTTAGGTGTTCATATATAATACAGAATTCAAATAAGTAGAACATATTAAAATTACTCTCGAAGTTGAAACCACATCGATCAGGTTAAGCCAATCCTAAAACTTGGGACTTCTACCCTCATTCAGGAGGGAGGATAATGACAATTGGAAGTCCCACATCGTACTATCCCTACTCACGCACATATCCCCAACACATTTTGGGGTTTTCGATAGGCTGAGGCCTTGCAAGACATGACCCTCTCTTGTGCTATCAGGCGAGAGGGCGTTACACTACCATTGGAGGACCCAATGCGTAGTGCCCATGACAATTTGGGGGGTGCGACCTTCCCTATTACTTACAGTCACCTCTCGACTCCACTCCTATCATATGGGTCAAGGTACAGTATACCCCACTACCAAAGGAGGATCCATGGCGTATTAGTCAGATATCAATGTTCATATAACATAAACATAGAGGCTACTATCAATAGAGGAACCGTGGCCTAGCCGTCAGATATCTGTATTCATATAACAGAAACATAGAGTCTACTACCAATGAAGGACCCATTGTGTAACAATCAGATATCAGTATTAATATAACATAAACAAAGAGTCTACTACCAATAGAGGACCCATTGCGTAGCAGTTGATATCAGTATTCATGTAACAGAAACAAAGAGTTTACTACCAATGGAGGACCCATTATGTAGCAGTCAGATATCAAATACATCAGTTGTACCGTGTACAAGCATGCGTAACATTTATTCATTCGTACTTTACTCTTTTCAAGACGTCAGGAATATCCAACATTCGTAGGATCATAAGCCTACCATTTTGGTGTCTTACCACCTTGCAAAAGGATTTAAGCTATGTTCAAAATAAACATTGATGCATGACATGTGCATAGCTCATATGCGACTTAAATTCATTGTGATTCTTATCAATCATGAGCATGTACAGAATGAGACATAGCACCCAAATTGTGAGGGGAAATTAACTAAACTCTAATTCCGATTCGGTAATTGAGCATTACTTAATTAATCAAGGGTTCAACATATCGTTCTGAATCTTGCTGAATTTTGCCAATAGTGACATATGTTCACAATTCAAAACATAGCTTGCAATCTAGTAGGAATTCCGAAACAATTTTAACATGCAACTTTTAGTAGACATTTAGAGCTTTCAAATGGCAGTGGTTTCGGGTAATTGGACTCCATTTGATTAGCCAAAATTCATGGCATCAGAGATTAAAATTATGAGTTTCTATGAGATCTTTCAATAGTGACATACTGGAGCATTTTTTAGCATAGCTTCTCATTTACATAAAATTTGGGCAAGATGAAAAAATGAAAATCATAAAAGACTTATGCATCTATCAAATGGATGTATTTTCGGGTCATTTGGACCTCAATAGATTAAGCAAAGTTTTAATACAGTAGAAGTAATATTTATAAAAATTATCATAGTCTGCTAATAGTGGCATATGTACACAAAATGAAACACATCTTCCAAATTATCAAAAATCTCAACTAGACATAAACATTAAACTCCAAGTAAGCTCATATACCTTTCAAAAGGTGGTGATTTGAGTCCATTTGGAGATCATTTGCTCAATCAAAATCTTATTTCAGGAGCATGTAAGTTTCCTAGAAAATCACAATACACTCATGGCACAATCGAAAGATCACTCCATAACTTCAAACCCATCCAAGATAACAACATGAAATTTTTTCAATCTTAGGCTAGACTCATATAAGCATCATTCCACAGAATATTAGGACCCACAAGAGTGATAACAATGCCCAACTTATCATGTAAAGAAGGCCTCATTGCTAGAAAACAGAACACAACATACATGCTTAACATCATACTTTGTTCATTGAGATTCATGTTTAACATTCATATTTTCAATTTCATGCTCTTACAACGTGATGCAAGGGGGTAATAATCCACTTACACAGCCAACAATGGTGCCCTCTAATCTTTCTCCTACAGTCCTTCAACTTCAACAATAGCTGCTCCAAAGTGAGGGAGTGAACTTTCCCAAATCTTGTCTTTGAGAGAGATAAAGAGATATGAAAAGTGAAGGACGTGAGGGAGAGGGACGAACTTAAGTGTCCCCTTAAGTGGTAGATGGCAGCCCAAGCAAACGGGTGGCAACCAACTCCCATGCAGCTGAACAAGTGGCGAACACTTAATCATGCATGGCAGTGCCGCAATCGGCGTTACGCACATGACGATGCCTCTTATTCACTCGCGGCGTTGCGTTCTCGCTGCCATGTACACACTGCCACACTCCCTCCACTAGCACCGTACTCTTCACTATCGCCGCGCGCTCTTCACTTTCACCACGTGCTCCACTATCACCACGCGCTCTTCACTAGCGCCGCGCGCTCTTCTGGGTCCTTACACGATGCCTCTATTCTCCAAATGGCGATGCCTCTCTTCTCCAAGAGGTGATGCCTCCAAATGGCGATGCCTCTCTGCTCCAAGCGGCGATGCCTTTCTTGTCCAAGCAGCAATGCCGCCAAACGGCGATGCCTCTTTTCTCCAAGCGGCGATGCCTCTCTTCTCCCTTCGTAGGCGGCGTTATCCCTCTTCTTATCAGACTCCTACAACTGTGATGTTTCCATGGCCAGGAAAACCTTGGTCCTTATAGGATGCTACCTTATAATGTAGAATTATGGATGCCCCTCAAAATCCATCGGAAAAGGTAGTTTTAATGTTGAAAAACCTTTGATAGATCATCTCGACATCGAGATGTATGACTATGAAAATAAAAAGATTTTAAGTCTCAAAAATAATGCATTTTACAACATATGATCTACACCATCCATTTTCAAGATTTTCATATGTTTATAGATCTACTTGATTTTAACCATTTTGAAATTTAAAATTTTATAATTAGATATTAAAATAGATTTTGAGATAATTTTAATAACATTTTACATCAAAATTATATACCATGATAAAATTTGAAGGGCACTGTACCTCTACACCTACGAAGGCGTCCGTATGCCAACTGCACCCTTCATGTTTTTGTGAGAAAAGAGGCCCCAAATTTATATGGGTATGGCTGATATAGGCCATCATTTTAAACAATCAAAGTACACACTTCTAGACATTGTAATTTTGGTATCAGAAAATGACTTAAAGATCTATTTTTATCTTTAATTTTAAATTTTAAAACTAAAAAATAGCAGATTGAGTAAATCTATGAACTTCTGTTTAGTAGACGGATAATCTGTTACAAAATTATTAGTTTTAGGACTTTGAAATCTTTTTTTCTATTTCCATATCATCTCGAGTTCAAGATTTATCAATTGGAAGCATTTTTAATGTTGAAACAATTGTTTTAAGTGGATTTTTGAAGTGCATTCTTACTTCTGTAGTACAAAGTTGTTACTTCCCTTTTATATTGGGTAGGGCTAGCAATGTGCCGGGCCAGCTCTGGCCCTAGCATAACCGTATTCTCTAAGATGGCCTAGGCCCGACCATGGACCTGGCCCTATCAGAGTCTGCCTGGGCTGGGCCGGGACACATCTGGTAAAATTAAAAAGAAACAAAGCAAAACATATAAAAAAGTAGGGCAAGGCAAGGCTTGGCCCAAGGTTGGATCTCGGGCCACATTTGTGGCCCAAGCTCTAGTTTTTTAGGGTTGAGCTAACTGGGCTGGGTCGGGTTAGGACGGCTACTCAACCCATTGCCATTCCTAATATGGGGTACAAACATTTTTGAAAATATCAATTAATATGCATCTACCACTTAGCAAAATTACGACCCTAAGCCTAAAGGCATGCGATATAAAAATGTGGGTTCCCATCAAAATCTAGAAAAATAGATTACTCTAGATCTTAAAGTTGGCCCTAGGTTGATACGTGGCACTTAGTCCTGGCCCAATTTCAAATTGTATATTTGACTTGAGATTGCCCTCTTGCCGATAAAGATGGCATATAGTATAGGAAATT